TGAACCGTAAACATTTCTGGCCTGAAGGGGGGGAAGCTGCACCTGTGGCCGCGCGCTTGGAGATCACGTGAGCGCTGCTGCGCTAAAGGAGAATAGCGTAACGATCTTGCAAAAGGGGTTGTAGATAGGTTTAAGGGCCATACAGGAGAATGGAAAAACAATGGGAACTGCGAGTACTGAGTACTGAGAACTATATCAGAACAGATTTGGGCCTCTAGAATAGCGCGGAGTATACAACGATGATATTTACTGTTATGTACCCACACGACGGAGAATCATACAGAAAACAACATCGACACCCCAGGTGACTTTAAAGGGTCAAAAACGGCATGGAGCTTCATCGAATTACACCGTTTCATGCATTCAGGCACATGCCCTGCCTGATGACAGCGTGCCTTCCTGCTGGCGAAAGCAGTTCGTGAACACAAGTGCTGAACAAAACTCAGGCTTTGTGTTGAAGCAGTAAGTCCTCAGGGCCAGTCAAGGGGTCCAAGTTCGCAAAGTGGACATTGGGAGGGACCTTGCCTTTGCGAAGTTGCTAGGACAGCAACTCTGCTTGCCAGAGTACTCTGGTGGAAACTCGCCAATGTCTGCGCCGAGCTGGAAGGCCTGCATGATTTTCTTCACAAGTCCATCAACGCCGGATACCCCTTCCAAGTGTCTTGAATCAGCAAAGCACATGCTGTGGAATACGTAGAATCGGCTCGAAGGGTGAACCTGGCCCCGGCATTTTGGCACTTTCTCTTGCTTGTGTGCGATGTCGTACGTCGGATTTTGGCCGGATCGCGTACCCCGTGCTTTGGCTTTTCTGGTTGCCCGGCACGGTCCTCACGAAGCACTTGAAGCATTATCTTATCGACGGGCGACAAGAAAACGGAAACCAGAACCAGAACCAAAAGAACGGAATTTAAACCAAAACCCAAAAAACCAAAGCCAAAAAACAAAAGGAACCAACAAACACCAATATCTGGTGGGATGTCTTGCAAAAAGGTGGCTAGGTTTCCAAGAGTTTCAAACGTTGTTTTTTTGGTTATGTTTTTTTTGTTTGGCATTTTTTTAAAGTTTTTGTTCTTGCGCAATCCCGGGTGGTGCAGCTGGTTTCCCATGCGCCGCTCCTTGCGCTCAGGAGGCCTGCGTGCGGGCTTCGGGTCTCGCACCAGGCTCGAGGGAGCATAAAAAGAAAAAATATACAATGTTAATTATCGCGAAAAAATTATTAAAGGTCTGGTGGTTAGTTTAGGAACTGTCGGAAATGGGGACAGTGCAGGGTATATGTTTCAAATATGGTACAATACACATTTTCAATCCCATGACCAAGCACTAGCTACGCGCAAGCATTGTTTTCAATACAAGTGTTTGTTATTCATCTTTTGCTGCTTTAACTACCCAGCTATATATTGAAAGACTACCTATCGAACAATTGTAAATTTTTTGCTCAGTTATAACATAGCAGCAAGGAGAATAAGACTTTATAACAGCCAATTCCCAACTCATTCTGCTAGCTTTTAACCAACGTTTCCATTCACTAAGGACGTAACCTGACGTAACAATAGAATGCAACTACAATAGTCATAGCATGTGAAGTATATGATCCAAATATTATACAAGCAACCACAATTGGATATAAGTGAAATACCCCAAAGGCCGAAAGGAAATACTCGGTCTTATATCAGTGAAAGGCAGTGTTCTAGGTAATTCCTTAATACCAATAACGCTTTAGGTATATACTTATGAGACATTGGCCGAATAGCTCATGAATATCAAATGCCAAGCGATATTCATACTACTAACACCTTTCATCATGGTAGTTCGATATTGAAAAATGAATATCTACCAGACGAATATTTCAGGGGCTACTTGTTTACATACGACTTTAAAGCACTAGCAGTATAGAACAAACGTTGATCTGTAGGTAAATACTAGGCTAATCTTGGGTTCGAACTAACTACATCATTTACAACATGCTCACAAAATAGTGCCCACTAAAAAGCATCGACATATGCAACGTTTTATTGAATGTTAGCTAAATGCCAAACGGATATTCAAACACATGTTGTGAGCATACTAACCAGGTGTCGTTTAAGTACTAAGCAACTTGTCAAACATGTATTACTTACAACCCTCCTAATCACCTATCAGTTAAGTAGTCAACAGATGCTGCCTGAACATTATAGAACCGTTTACCATTCATATAAGTCTCAAATGAAATTTACATTATTGCTTGGTGTTGTAACGGTCTTGTCCCAATTACCTTTTTCTTTGAACAACACTGTTGGAATAAACCGCATCTCATAAATAACCATAAGAGCTTCAAGACGCTGGGGTCATGACAAGGCCCTAAACGCTGGGTGCATGATCGCGATTAGAACCCGTACGTCTTGTCCAAGTTGCCTGACAGCATCGTTTGTTTCCAGGTTGTCGAACGGCATCTTGTGCTTTAGCTGCTGAACAGCAGCGCTTTGCAGTTGCCATCTTTGGCCAATAATTTGTGACATGCACTCTACGCGCGACTGAATACTCATCTTTCTGTCCGCACCTATGATGAAAACATCAAAACAAATGGTTTCCGTTCGCGCATTTACATGAACCTTTGTTTCTCCGTTGTTTCCACCTAGCTTTTTATCCGAAACATGATATCTTTATTCCACGTGGCTCGGTATGCACAAAGTGCTTAAATGCAAGGGGCCACGTTCACGCCTGGAACCCTAGAATCATAGGCGTAGCGAGCTGCACCGACATAGAACATCCCGAGGGCAAGACTCTCTGTCAGTCCCACCCTGATAATCGATGTTCGCGACATATTAGACTCAACTGCGATGAAGCTCCTGGGCATGAAACCAAGAACTGTTCATGCAGAATGTAGGGCAATGAACACGACATGCCTTCATCTACTCAGGATTTCATTTTCGTTGTTCCGCAGCTTCTTAGCTGCGTATTCTGCATGTGTTGTCCATTCTTTTTTGCGGGTCTAGAGCGTTGTTGATTGTAGAGGTTCCTGCCCGTGTATTTGCTGCAGTTGAATCAGAACATTTATGGTAAGTCCACTATAAGTAGTCCTGCAGCTAAGCAGGAAGTTGCTTCCACGAGTGCTTCGGCCGTGGCCTCGAAAATGCTTGCTTGCATCCGAGTTTTCTTGCAAGTTTGGCTTCAACGTGCTCAGGAAACTGAAGCCAACACTTCAAGGCCCGAGTCATGTTTCTCGTGTTAATGTTGTCGCGCATTTTGGGAGGAGCGCGGCAACCGCGGAAGTGATGGCTATGCTAGGTCGGTTTTGTAGATGAATTCGACGGCTGGCTCTCAGGAATTTAAGCCGGGGGGGGGGCATTCCATATATCCCTGATAGGCCCAGATCTGTGTTAGTTAAACGCTTCACGCAATGCAACTTTGTGGGGAGCTGACTTTTTTTCACCAGGAGTCTGCGGAAATGAGGTGATATGCAGAATGCTAGCTGCTAGCTAGAACATGTCCCAGAGCATGCGCTTTCCGCCAAGAGCACGCGCGACGGCGCAACAGTCCTCATGCACAACTAGACACATCAGTCGGGTAGAGCGGGCATGAACCGTGGGACTCGCCTGCAACATTCAGACAGAACGGTCCTTGAACAAGACTTCTTTATATGGCAAACAGCACTTTCTACGCTAGGCATATTTCCAAAGTTGAGACTGTTGTGGGCAACATGGTTCAGACAGTGTGTTTCTGTCGTGTCATTGCTCAATCTGGCCCGGCGTCGTCGGCGTCGTTGTAGTGGTACTCTGGTATTACAAAGCTTTTCAATTGAACAACGCCGGTTGAGAAATGAAGCTCCGCAAACTGACTCGTAGACACGGCGTAAGTAAGCACTGTGCTACCTGGCGCTGATATGGTTCTTATTGGTTGGCTATATAGCTGGGTTACTCATGTGGGAGTCCTGGGTACGTAGTCGGTTCATAGTGGCAATCTGGCTGGAGGCCTGATTCTTGATTGCCGCATGTGCAGACATGATGTCTTTGGAGACAGGGGTTCTTATCGACACGCGCTGGTGCGGAAAAGGTGGCAACCCAAGTCTCCTGTCCTTTACGGGTATGTACTTCATATCCTGGTGTTGAGTCCAAATGTTGATTGGGTTATTCCACCGCCTGTGGTGGCCCAAGCCATGACTGGACATTGGAGCTGCTTTGGGCAAAGAGAAGGAGAAGTGCAGTGGCTGCTGTACTGGTAGCAGCTGGTAGTAGCAACAGCAGTGCTAGCAGTAATAGCGGTTGTAGCGGTTGTAGCTGTAGCAGTAGTAGTAGTAGCAGTAGTAGGAGTAGTAGTAGTAGTAGTAGTAGTAGTATAGCAGTAGGTCGGTAGTAGTCATTCTGGTAGCATTCAGTGCAAGAAGATCAGGCTCATAACAATTGCAACAGGCTTCATCTACAGACCTTCAACGATTGGAACCTCAGGGGTATGCGGCGTACTTGGGAGATCAGCAACAGGTGGGATCCTTCGCAAAAACCCTGCGTCTTGGTGTTTCGGCTTGCGTTGTGGGACCCTGGGCTGTGCATCTTTTAAAGGACACTGCGTTCTCTGGGAGTTGGGATAACGAAGCAACCTTACCCAAAGGCTGAGATAATACCATATGACTAGAGGCCACGGCCGCGATTCCTCGAGGTGCAGGCTCTGACAACTTTGCAGTTTGACCCGGGGTCTGGGATCGCAGTACATGAAATCCAAAGGTACACACAAGGCTGCAGTGCAGGGTGCGAACTGTGGGTATGGAGGCGCATGTCTAGGGATGCTCGGAGGACTTATCCTCCCCAAAGAAAGAGACTCTGAACGAGAACATCATCACACTTCCAGACATGAAGAGCGCCTGAAAAAACTGGCTTTGCCGCCGATGAAGACAAAGCTGAAGCCAGATCCGCCATCCATACCATGCATTACCATGCATACTCCCAACAAAGCACTGCATCTACTACAAATCCACAGAACTCAACCCGAAACCGGCTCGTCTGGACGTCACTTTTTCGCGGTGGCTCATACTAAATGTTCAAGTTGTCAAACTTCCCTAAGCGCTTGTAACGCTCAAACTCCTCCATCTCCTTCTGGACCCATTCGTCCTGGACCGGGGCCGCATGTCAAAGACTACCAGAAATGGCTCAACCCATCCATGCTGCTGCAGCAACCAGGCAGCAACCTTTGTATGTGTTAGGTTGGTTCTTTTCTTGCCAATTAAAAAGAGCCGCGGCGGCTTGCAGAGTCGTTGCATTCAACTGAACACTTTATTCCTATGATACGGAC